GGGGGGGGGGGGTACTCATCGTCGTGCATGCCGTAGTGGGTAGACCATGGGCCTCCGGGTGATGACCGGACCAGGCTCTCACATCATCAAGCGCGAAGCAGGGTGTGGACAAAACAAGCAAGAAGCGGCGTGATTTTACTTCATTTTCGCACTGGTACTGCGGTGTGTGTTACAATATGGCACCGGGCATACCCATCCCTTTCTCAGGTCAACAACTGGGTCCTGCTGGACAAATCACATCACGGGGCCGCCCAACTGCTGTTGCTCTACTGCTGTCTACTGCTCGTTTCGTTTCCTCCTTTGGGCTCGATCTCGTCCGAACTTGGACTAACGAACTCCCCACCATGCACTGCCGCCTCCAGATGTGAAAAGCGACGGCCGAATAAGCGTGGCTAAGCTGCTGGCCTGCTTGAAACAGATGGATTTCATCTTGGAAGGGTCACCGGAAGACTTGATCCGGTCGGTGGTGCCCGCGGCGATGGATGTGGACAGACTCAGCCTGAACGATGCCATTAAGGTATGCATATGTATTTTAAGATCGACCGCTCTTTCTGACTGACCAATGAAAAGACGTCCGTCAGGCTCAAGGTTGTGTGTTGCTACCTTTTACGTGGGATAGGCATCCGATACGTTGGGTGTGGTGTGAGCACCTACGCCAGTCAAAGTTGCAGCACCAGCACCAGCAGCAGTCGTGCCTCGCTTGCTATTGGCGCTGCGTAGTTCTTACGCACGGGGCACACCCTTCCTCGTTTTTGCTTCTCCGGATGCCTCTTGTCCTTCCTCTTTTTCCTGAGTCCCAGCCCAACTCCTGCGTCCGTCTCCTGCTACTTTTGTTGTGACGTTTGGTTGCAGGTGGCCACTGCGGCAAAGACTCAGGAACAAGGATCAGCACCACCGCAGGTGAGTGCGCGATAGGTTGGATCGACAGCTGTAGTACGTGGCATGCCAAGGAGGAGACGGAAGGATGAGATGGAGAGGTGGGATTGATTGCAGGAACTCGCGCATCAAGGTTCAATTCATGAACTACGGCAGCGCCGCCTAGTCCCAAGGTCCACATTTTCCCAGGAGCAGAGTTTTCTGGCATTTTCGAGGGCTGCGTCCATCGCAAGCCCCGCTGTCCTCCTATAATCTGTTTTGGATGGGTCCTCAACCCCACCCCGCGCCTATGAAAAGTGTGTTCACCTTGAGTTCGACATGCTGCTGAGTACCGGTAACGCTGCATGGAAGTTAAGCTTGGGCATGTTGCCCCCACCCTCTCTCTCGCAGCAGCATCCCCGCCCTCTCTTTAATCTGTACAAAATTTTGCTTTTTGCAACCGAGAGCTCTAGCGGGTACTCCTTTTCCCTTCATGACCCGATTGTTTGGCAGCGGCTGGCTTCGCCGGACGCAGCTGCTCTCTGCTCCCGCTTTGTGCCTATAGCTGCTGTTGGCCATCTCTTCCCCTCCCCTGCTGCTTTGTCCACTGCAGAGGCCGGGTATTGGGCGTGAGGGTTCCCTGGCCGAGCTGGAGAGCTCGTTCAACAAGCAGATTATGCTGGGAGAGATCACGGCGGACGCGATCGAGGAGGAGCCGCGAGTCCCCTCGGTGGGGCTGGCCCGAGAGGACTCTCTGGCGCAGCTAGAGTCCTCCTTCCACAACCAGGTCGGTGTTGGTGCTGCTGTTGGTGCTGGTGTTGGTGCTGCTTCACTGGGGGGCCGGACGTTCACCGCCGATTCATACCAGCCGATCCGTGTATAGGACGTGCCTCCATTATAACAGTTGACGTGCACGGAGCCCATGCATGTTTGAGCCCAAGTCACCGGGGACTCCGTAACTCCTTAGCACCAGACCACACACATACCCACCCCAGGCTCCGTGTATCATACCGACCGCCGGGTAAGTACCCCAAAGATTTTCTCTTTGTGTTACATATCTTGTGTGCTTGATACATGTGTAGCCGATTGATCTATCTCTATGGTTAAGGCAAGCGGACACCTAAGGTGCTGGTGATGGTATTCGGCGTTCCGTGTGCATGGTTTTGACGATGGTGCTTCTTGGTTTCTGCTTTTTTCTAATCCTGGGGTGCACTTTTTTCTTTTTCGCCTCATTTGAGTTTGCTAATTCTCAACTATTAATAGTCGTTGCACTTCATTTCTTTTTTCCTTGCACGCACAGATCAATTCCGGCAATATTCCGGCGGCAATTGTGGAGGGGCCCGCCGCGATCGAGAACGCACCCCCCCCCGCCGTGGCGGCTGTGGGGCTAGCCGTCCCGGTTCGGAGGCGTTCCATCGCC